GCTAATTTACATAAGTAAGTTTTGATGTTAGTAGATGTAAAATTATTATGAAGAATTAATTTTCAAAATAGCATATGTTGTATTTTTTGTCAACACTTATGAATGAGTATTAAATAAGCTATTAACTTTCCTATTTTCAAATCTTTTTTTTTTTTTTTTTTTTTTTTTTTAAATCAATGCTAAACTATAGAAGACTTAAATTTATTATAACGGCACTTCTAGGTCACTAGGACTTTCTCTCTGTTCATCTTATTCTTCTTCATCTGATCTTTTCTAATTTATTACACAAACTACTGATAGTAGCAGTAGCAGCAGTAGCAGCAATAACAGTAGTCACTTCCCATTCTAATTTTAAAATTTAAAATTTAAATCCACTCATTCATGACTACTGCAATAGGTTATCCATCCGTACTGTTCGATATGTTGACGATGTCACTGAGATTATATGTTTATTTCTGATATTTATTTTCTTAAAAAATACTTAATATTTATTTAATAAATAATGAAATTTGATTAGAATTCACATAAAACTTTAATATTTTATCTGTTTATTTTTTATAGAATGTTCTACAAATAGAAATCAGTAAATAAATAAGAATTTTCTTATTGATAAATAACTTATAATTTATTTGAATTTAACATTTAGTATAATGAATATTCCTTTATTATTATTATTATTATTATTATTAACTTGCATATAAAATTTCTTTATTTAATATAGAATAATGAAATTTATATATAGAAAAGTATTTTTTTTTTTTTTAATTAATCGAATTTTATCAGTGTAAAAAATAAAAAGATGATAAATGATAAAATGGATTAGAATTGCAAGAAAATTTAAATAAATTAACTTAAAATTAAAAAAAAAAAAAACCATATTACGAATCTATTTTATTCAAGGAATGATTTTCTTGCTTGCTTTAAATGACTGGAAACATTGAATATTCTGTCATCTGACATCAACACTTCTAGATTTTTGTTGACACTATTGAACAAATAGTGCTATTGTACTCTGTTGTTAACAATGAAGAATTTTAATATCTTGAATGATCATCTAAATGTTATTAATTGATTCTTCTACTTAATCCATCTATTTTGTCATATTTTAGTCTATCAAATAGTGTCAATTTTTAAAGTTTTCAAATTAAGTAATTGCTTATTAAGTAATTTTCAGAATCTAACTTTTTTTCAGTACTTTGATCATTTAAAAATTTAATTTATAATTTTTCAATTCTAATTTTTAAATTGAGATTTTGATATGGTAATTTTTAGATGGCAGCATAATAGTTATAAAATAATGATTACGGCTATGTATCAGAAGTATCAGCGACAATATTCATTTAGCAGTTTTAAATATTTTTTTAAATATCTTTAAAATTTCATCTGCTAAATGAAGCCGAATGAAGCTTTTTTTTTTTTTTTTTTTTTCATTTATTGATCTGATTCATTCATAGAAATCAAGTTTGAAATTATAAATGAAGTAATTGGTTTTTATCAAAAGAATTTGTTCAAATTGTAGCATTGGTTATGTTCAGGATGCTTTACTTTTTCATAATTCAATTACTTACACTATTTAATTTTAGGAGATTAAAAAGAAGAGGAGTAGACTTAAGGTATATTAAAGAGGAAGAAAACTAACCAAAGAAAGTAATAATATTTGAAATTACTATTCAAATATTATTTAGGTCATAAAAGTCTAAAATTGTTGGCTAATTGACACATTTGTAAAAGTTTAGTCGTATTATGTATAATGTAATGCATTTGTATTAAGCAATACTGATCAGTTTATTTTCCAATTTTGCTAAACATTCGTTTAAAATTAATATCATTAAAAAAAAAAAAAAAATTAATTGATCGTACAAAAATTTGCAAAAATTTTTTTTTTCATTTTGTTGAAAATTTTGTGGTGAAATATTTCATTTGGTTATTTTCTTTTTGTTTTTCTTTTTTTTTTTTTTTTTTTTTTTTTGCATTTATAATTTTTGTTAACAAAATAACAATATTGATGGATAGTTAGGAAAAAATAAAGAAAAGAAATGTTGAAAAAAAAAAAAAAAAAAAAAAAAATAAATATGAAATGGAATTAGGCTTTTCTCCTCATTTTATTCATTGCCGTTAATGTTGGATTAAAAATTTTTGAACACAAATAGAATTCTTTCACTCTGATGAGTTTTCCGATACTCGTTTGATCCATTTTTATCTTTTCAGGAAATTTATTTCTCGGTTAATTTATTCTCTTCTTTTCTACTCTCTCTCTCTCTCTCTCTCTTTCTCTCTCTTTTTTTTTTCCTTTTTGTTTCTTTTTTTCAAAAAAAAAAAGCATAAATTGGAAATGTATGGTTTTCTTTTTTTTTTTTTTTTTGTCTAAGCAAATGAATTGTTTGACAAAATGACAATGTTAGGCAAAATAAATCAAAAATTTTTTGCTTATTTCTAGAATGATTGGCATTTTTTTGATTCAATCAAGTGGTAATTATTTATCTTTCGAAAAAGTTCGATTATTATTTTTTTTTTTTTTTTTTCAAATTTCATTCCAAAAATTAATGATTACTTTTTGTGGTAAATTTATGTATCTATTTAAACAGAGATAATTATATTTTACAATGAAGTATGTTTTGTAAAGTAAAATAAAGTAAGTTTTAAAAATTTTTAAATTCTAGTATTAACAGAAGAGGAAAAATTTTTGTTGTTATTAATTAGCATTAATTCTATAATAAGTTGAATTAGTGACAAAATTCACAACAAAATTAGGTGCTATCTTTTTGCTCTAATGAAGAGAGAGGGAGAAAGAGAAAGAGAAAGAGAAAGAGAGAGAGAGAGAGAAAGAAAGGGCAAATTTAATTAAAAATGACAAATTAAAAATGTTGATGAGATGTTATCGGAAGAGATTGGATGAAGAAGCTTTTCGAATAGATTTTCATACTGATAAAAATTTCAATTGAATAGCAAAAAAAAGAGTGAAAGAGAGCAGATGATAAATTTTGTTCGTCTAAGAAAACATTTAAGTCTATTTTCAAGGTCATATATATTTCATATTTTGGCAAACCAATCATTGTTAATTTAATGTTTGAAAAAAGATACTTCTTTTTTTTTCTAATATCTTTGTAATGAATACTTTTATTTACTTTGTTTTTGTTTTTTTCGTATATATTATTGATTTTTCTTTCAACAAATCATATGAAAAAAAGAAAAAAAAAAATTGTTATTATTAATTTTAATTAAGATTCAAATTTGAGAATTTCATTTGAATTAGTAATTGATGAAATGATACTAACATTTTTTTTTTTTTTTGTGTTGCTTTTGTTAAATTGATCAATTTAGATGACTAATTTTTTCTTCTTGAACCATTATATACCATCAAAATTTGCTTCTATTAATTTTTTTTTCTCTCTCTCTCCCTCTGTCTCTGTCTCTGTCTCTCCCTTTTCTTATTGACCATTTTGATCATTAAAAGATTCAAAATGTTTTATAATCAATGCATTTAAAAGATTTCAATTTTTTTTTTCTCTTTTAAATAATCGGGAAAATTGGAGAGAATCTCTGACAATTTATATTTTATAAAATATTTTTTTTTTTTCAATTTTTTTCCGGTTTCTTTGTTTCTTTTTTTTTTTTTTTTTTCATTTTTTATTTTTTATTGCTAACGTTCTGTTAAATTGTTTTCTTTTTAATTGCAAAATTGTTTCATCTTTTTTTCTCCACAATTTATTACTTTTAACATGTGAAATAAATAGAATGGAAAATGAATAATTATTGGAAAGAAAATTTTTCTTAAATTTTAAAATTGTAAAAAAAAAAAATTTCAAAATTTTTTTTAAATTATTAAATGTGATAAATAATAGGTGCATACATTTTCCTTATTCATACTGTAAAATAAAAGATACGTTATTTTTGCATGACGCGTTCGTTGGGCGAATTTTTTGCAATTGTATCAATTAGCGATGAGAAAGAGAGTGGAAGGATTCCATTTTAGCGGTTTCAATATTTCATTTCGGTTTTACACCGGATGTAGTTTCAATATTTCATTTCGGTTTTACACCGGATACGTTCCTTCAATTTTTTTGCCGGATTATTCATTCATTTATTTGATGATTTTCAGCTACGATAAAGTCTCAACAATCACAACAACAACAATAGCATATTTATGCAAAATAGGTCAATTTAAATCCGAAAATGGAAATGTTTTCTAAAATATGACACATCCGGTGATTAATTTTTAACCGTAAAATTTTTATTCACTATTAGCTTTAGCAATTTAAAAGTGTAAATTAAAATGAAAATAGGTGATGAAATTTTCGGATGCATTAGATGTATATGTATGGTTTATGTATTTGCTATTATATAAACAAATAGATATAAATATAGCTGTTATGTTTTTTTTTTTTTTTTAAATATGTCTAACAAAATATTTGAAACATTTCTGATAGTTTCAATTGCTTTTATGATTTGTTTGCTTAATATTGTTGTTTGAAAAAATTTATGAGTGATCAACTAGTAATGAATTGTTTGCTAAGTTATATGAAGCATTAGAGATTGAAAGTTGTTCAAATTATAATGTTTTGTTGCGTAAATCATGTGATTTCTTCTTATAACTACGTTTTATTTTAACTTTTTTTGAAGTATTAAAAAAATTGTTGATCCATTTGAGTGTTGTTTTATTTGTTTAAAGTAATTCATTCGATTTGTTTGCATTGTTTACATACACTTTATCTTTAAATCTTTTGCCGTGTATCGACACTTTTGACATTTAAGTCTGTTATCCTTTTTATTTATTAGTTTGCATAAATTTATTTGTTTACTGATATTTCCTGTTCATTTCCTGCTATGGTTATGTGTTAGTAAATATTTAACTAAATTGAGGCTTCATTTCAGGTGTAAAAGGAAAGAAGCAGCATAAATTTATTGCACTTATTTAAGAGAACTCTTTATTTTACTAAGTGCTGCTAAATTTAATTAAAAAATAACCACTGTAACAGTATTGCGAGAAGATAACGATAGCGATGAACGATGATGTTTTCGTTGTTGTCAAATATGATTACAATGCACAAGAAGAAGGCGAACTTACAATTAAAAAGAACGAAAGACTTAAATTAATTGATGACTCCAAGAATTGGTGGAAAGTACGTTACTGTTTATTCCTATTAATCAATTATAATTTAATAAAAATTTAAAAAAAAAAAATTTTTTTTTTTTTTGATTTATTTGGAATGAATGTGAGAGAAAACGATAGATTGATAATGTAAGTTTACTGGGATTACGGAGATTACATATTCAGTTATAGTTGTCTTGAAACCTCTACTCTTTGGAGAGATTTTCAATATTTAGCATATTTTTTAGCAGGCGTTGGTCGATTTAACTCTCTGAGCAATGGGAAATAAAGCGTCAGAAATAATTTATGTCCTATGATCTATGCTTAGATATGATAAATGATCCCGATAAAAAATGCGTTGTTATTCATAATAATGGAATATTAGATATAGGACAAGCTTTTGCTTTACTCATTTTTTATCTCATTCTTTTGCATTTGATTGCTTTTTTTAAACTGCTTTGTTTTTTTTTTTTTTTTTTTTTTTTTTTTTATTTTCACCTAGTCACTTTTTTTACACTATAAAAAGTACAGTTTTTCTTTTTGTTAAACCGCTAATCATTAACAATCTTCTCGATTATCTGTGAAGCACTTTAACTATAGAAAAATATTGATAAGTCTCTTTTTTTTTTTTCGTCTTTTATTCTATGATCAATGTGCTCAGTTTCAGTTGTATATCAATTTTTTTTTTTTTTTGCTATATATAGTTTTGGATAAAGACATTAAATTTTTCTTTTTTAATCGGTTTCCCATTCCATTTCGTGACTTCAGTTTTTTGCAAATCAGAATAACAGTCTTGCAAAAAGGATAATGATTTGTTGAAACGTTGTATAAATATAATATTATAGGTTGTAAACGAAGAAGGCATCGTTGGTTTTATTCCATCGAATTATGTTCGCAAAGAATCATTTGTGGAAAAAGCAAAAGGAACAATTAAAGGGTTTGGCAAGACGAAATCAAAAAGCAAAACAGCTGATTTCAATCAGGTAAATGATTATCATTTAGTAAATATGTGATATGACATCAGAAAGTTCCATTAATTTGGTATATCTTTAATTTTGATTTTTTTTCTTTCCCTCACTTTCTCTTTGTTTAGAAAATTTGATTGTATTAGCGCAGATATTTTGAAAGAATATGAATATATTAGTATATATTTTAGTGGCGTATATTGTATTCTAAAGTATTGTAAAATCCTTCTATGCTTATAACCATTGTAGCATCAGTTGGTGATCTGCTTTAAAACCAAAATAATAAAGATATGACCAAAATAATAAGTAATTTGACACTGTCATAATTATTTGAATATCATTACAGGCTTCCTCTTCAGAGCTCATTATCAGTCGTCCAGCATTAGCCGCTGTTTCTGGAAATGGTAGTTTCGAAAATGGTTTCAGTAGATCAGTTAAAGTACTAATTCTTTTTAATTGTTGTTTTTTGGTATTTCTATTTCTGCCACAAGTTTTTTGAATATTTTGTAAATAAAATTGTGGTACAACTTGACGATGGAAAGAAAATCGTTTATATTTATTGAATTTTTCAGTGTGAATTTTTTAAGGTATCGTGAAAAAAGGATGGGAAAACTTATAAATTTATCTTCATTTATTTGCTATCAAATAAATGAATTTTTATTTAGGTGGGTGGAGTAATGTCACAAGCTGTTGCAAAATATTCTTATGAACCACAGCGAGAAGATGAATTAAGGTTATGCAAAGGTGATGTTGTTACAGTTCTTGAGAAAAGTTCCGACGGCTGGTGGAAAGGAAAGGTAATTAATAGCCTATATTGGCATGCATTTTAAATTAGTTGTGTTTAAACCTTCGACACTTCAAAATCATCTTTTAAAGCTCTTATTTTACCTAGAAGTTATTTTTTACTTTTTTTTTTTCTTTCACTTTTAGTGCATACCGTTCTAGTGAAGTTTTGTTATATATTGTTGAGCAATTCACTACATCATTTTTAAACAATATAATAATTTTTCAATAATTATTTTCATTATAAACATTTATATATATGATATGATGTGATAAGCTGACGACTGAATGTTTACATGTATTGTTTCACTTTTCATCATATGCACAAAAAAAGTATCTTCATTATCACATTGACCGTAATTCTTTCGGATATTTATATTATGAAAAATACTAAACAGAAAAGAGAAGAAAATACTTCGCACGGGAAAATTACTTATGAATGTGAAATATTAATTAAGCGAGATGCTTTTGTTTCAGTGCCGAGAACAAATGGGATGGTTTCCTTCGAATTATATTGACGAATCTCCTTCAAATACTTTTTCGACTCCAAAGACTAATATCGAAATAGGGAACGGTCTCAACAAGGTTCAATTTTATTATTATTATTTTTTTTTTCACCCTCTTATGAAATAAATTCTCTTTAGTAGTTTATATATTCTGTGCGGAATGCATATTAAATATTGAGATGCTTCAAAAGATGAAGAAAAAGCTTTTCTAACTTTTGAAAAAAAAAAAGTTTTTTAGCCTCAGAATGGACTCATCATGTTGCCTTTGCAAAGGGTCCTTGAAGTAGTCGTTGCATTATATTCATTTGAAGCCCAAAATGCAGAAGAATTATCATTCTATAAAGGTAAGTAGTGAAACATATATTGCCAGCAATTTGCATTAAAGTAAAAATTATGCCATTTAATGTTATTAGCTGCCACAGGTATATAATTTAGTGCCTAATTTTATGCAGTTTTCACAGAAATAAATGTCTTGATATTTGTATAATTCTATGGATTTAGAATCCAGTTAAGAATGGTAATATTTTGAAGTGAAATTGTATTTCATCGGTGATTTTTTGTGTAGAAAACTGAATCCTTTAATTTGTAAATTGAATTTTGTTATTAGTTACATCTTCTTTAATATTATTTTATAAGCAGTATAGTCAAATTATTGTTACCATTTAGCAAATAATTTTTTACGCTTTCAAAAATTCCAAAAATGAAAAAATTAAACCTAATATTTTTAGGAGAGCGTTTGGAAATTATCGATCATCCAGCTCATGATCCAGAATGGTGGAAAGCTCGAAATGAAAAAGGTTGTACAGGACTTGTACCAACAAATTATATTGAGGTTAGCTGATCAATGTTCTGTTATAATTATTAACTTTATTCCTTTATGTACTATTCAAACGTTAATTCTTAGAGCTTGTAACAGTTGAATATTTTCATTCTAGGTAGTGGATTCAAATCCGGATCCAAATGTGAATCATTTTGTTTCGTCCGTGTCAGAGCGGAGATTGAAAGCTCCATCTAGTAACAACGGAATTACTTCAGCAATTAGAAATGGCAGGTTAGTTTCAGAGAAAAAGGAAAGGTTGTACAGGGCTTGTAGTTTCGGAGAAAAAGGAAAAAGTTAGTGAGAGAAGGTTGAACCAACTTAAGTGGAATTTGTCCTTCAAAAATAAGTCTAGCCATAAAAAGTGCAAGAAAATCAAATTGTAAAGTTCTTATGCAATCTTCATTACTATTGTTTATTGCACTCATGTGATTTTTCGAGGGTATGCTTTTGATTTTTCTGTTTCTTGGATTTGCATTTAAAATTTTACGTTTACAATGCAAATTGAAAATTTGAATGCTTTATTCTCTAATATAAGTATGCTTGAACAAAGCATTTATAATAATCAAAATTTAAAAATATAACGCTGTTTGATAAAGATTGGATTTTATCGTAAAACGCCAGAGACTTTTTTATGTTTAGTTAGCAGTGAATTTGCTATTTTTTTTTATTTTTGGTTTAAATTAATCTTATTAATCTTATTTTTTGCTTTTAAATAATAAATTAAGAAAAACTGATACAGATTTATTGCAGCAATTCTCGACTCACTGGTCCTTATGCAAATCAACCATGGTATTATGGAAGATTGTCACGTGACGAGACTGATGCATTATTGAATGCCCGTGGTGTCAATGGTGATTACTTGGTTAGGGATAGTGAAAGTAACGTAAGTAAACTTACATTTTTGAAAAATTTTATCTGAAAACATTAGAACATTTTAATGCTTCTCTGAATGAGGAGAATGATGGTGAAAGTTTGTACATAGGAAGATTAACAACAATTTTTGGTAAGAAATTTGAGGCAAGAAATGTTTTACAATGTATATTATCCTCTTCCTCTCATCTCTGCTTCAATTTTTTTTTTGAGAAGAAAAAAGATTAAATTAGGATATTATTAGGTAAGCATAAATTTTATTGCCTTATAAGAATAAAAATTTCAGCCAGGTGATTATTCGATTTCACTGAAAGCAGCAGGTCGTAATAAGCATTTTTGGGTACAAGTGGATACTACGAACAAATCTTTTAAAATAGGCACTCGAACATTCATAACTATGGATGATCTATTGAAACATTATATGGCAAGTCCAATTTATACAAATGATAAGACCAATGAACGATTGTTTCTGATTAAACCGCTGCCAAGATGAATAAAACGTATACATAAACGGAACGGAATCATCTGATATTGACGGGTGCTTTCAGAATTATAACTGCTTGCCAAATTAATTCTTTTTGGAAATATATTTTTATCTTAATTCATCGTCTTCACATTCCTTTTTCTCTTTCAGAATTTTGTTTTCTGTAAAAATTTCCATGCTTTCAAAACTTAGCATTCTTTTTCTTTTTTTTCTTTCTTGAAAGACTTTTAGTAACTCCTGCCATAAGCTAAATAAATTAGCTTGAAGATTGTTTTGTTTATAGGAAGCGAAAGCTCTTTCCGCTTTCTAAAACATTTTATTTCTTTCATTTCCAAACTATTTCCTCACATAATTATTTGTTATGGAATGAATATTGTTCTTTATATTTCAAATTTTCATAATTTATAAAAATATAATCTAAAACAGTGAATTTTGGAATTCATGAGCAATTTTTAGATGTTTATAAAAGAAAAATAAAACCTTTCTACAATGTTTCTCTCAGATTTTTTTCCCCATATTTAATGTGTATATAATTTTTTATTTAGTTGCTGTAAATTCTCATCTTTGAGAATATCTTTTTTTTTTTTTTTTTTTCTTTTGTATGAAAGTTGAAAGGAAAAATTCTGTTTTTAGAAATTATATTTTCAAGCACTCAATTAGTATTTTTGTTCACGCCGTTTCGCAAAAAAAAAAAAAAAAAAAAAAAAATTACTAATTATTACTAAATTATTCATTCAATTTGTCAAAATTATAGTAGTGGAAATTTTGTATACTTTGTATGGACAATTACTTCATTCAATTATATTTCCACAAACAAAATGGAAATATTTTTACACACATCCCTGAAATGAGAAGTGGGAGCGTTGAAAATCATAATTGTTATTATAATTATATTTGTTAACAGTGATATAAATTGGGGTAACATATACATCATATCTGGAAAATTTGTGATATATTAATAATTTCTTGTTCGATCATTAAATGTGTCACTTTTCTTTTTCCTCCTAAATTTGACAATGATACAAAATTTTTGAGGACAATCATTTAATGCATTTTTAACATGAAAATAATGAACATATCAATTACTTAACAATTATCTTCATTTTTTTTTTTTTTTTTAATGGAATTAAATACAAAGCAATAAAATTATGCTATTATTATTATTATGAAAATACTCCACTCTTTATCTTCTTCTTATTATGAATAATTCAGTATTTTTTTTTTCTTTCGTTCTTTCTTTTTTGACCGAAAAGAGTTAAAAAAATAAAAGTATTTGAGCATTTCTGAAGTTTATTACCATATTTGTTGTTATGTATAATCGTAAATGTAAAGTTTTTTTTTTTTGCTTTAAAATTTAAAGTTATTAATTATCCAAAAATAGGCTAACATTTTATTATTTTTATTTATTTATTTTTCATAATTTATTTACAACATTACAAAATTACATTTCTCGTATGCCACTATGATGACAATACATAATAACGTTCCAGTTATACATACATGTGGCATCTTCCATTGTAATTTGTTCGATGGCTGTTCCAGTTGGATCGCACATCCTTAAACATCGACTACCTACCTGTAAAATTAATTAATTAATTAGTTCATAAAAGGTTAATTTAGGGTTAAATTATCAATCATAAATGCTATGCATACCTGAAGTTGTGGATCGTTTAAATTTAAATGTATGCAACATTTTCGATTATCACGATTCTGTGATGCACAATAAAGAATGCTAGATAAATATTCTAGACCACATTTCCTTTCACGTAGTATTGAAACGAGCTAAAATTTTAAATTTTTGTTATGTTACTATCAAATTATATATTACTTAATTATTTAAGTATTATAATGCTCAAGATTATTTTATAATTATCATATATTGCTCTCTCTTTTTTTTTTTCTTTTTTCAATTACAAATCATTACATAAATATATGTATGTGAAAGTAATTTGATTGAGACTTTTCTTTTTTTTTTAAAAAAAAAAAATAATTATTTTAAAATAATCTCTTAATTCTTATTATATCTAAGAAGTGCAGTAAGCTGAAACAATCTATTAAATATATATATATGAATATAAACAAAATTAAAAGTATAAATTTTATGAAAGAATTGTTTGATAAATAAATTTTACCAATTCACGTGTGACATTTTGATTGGTTTCATAAACACATAATGAACGACATTCCTTTGGTACATAAATATTGCAACATGATTGAAAAAGTTTATCAGCTACACCTCGACTGGTACATGGTTTGTATCCTAATTCAGCGGTACCACAAAGAGGCTAGAAAAAAAAGAAATCTGAATTCCAACATAAATTTTATAGGTAAACTTTTAGTAGTAGTTAATTAATAGTGTGAATTTTATTTCAAAATACACAGTAAATTCCCAAAAAAAAAGTCTTTTTTTTTTGGAATTCAAATCGGTTTAATTTTATTTTACAACACTTTGATCTTTTCAAATCGATTTAACTTTCTCTTATAACATTTTGAACATTTCCAAATTTAAATTAAATTAAGAATTTAATTTGAGAAATATATTTTCTACCAATGATTGACCACGAAATGCTGCATTTGGTGATCGTTTCAGGTCACTTTTCTGTTTCACACTACGCTTAAACATTAGAATTTTACGATCTGGACATTTGATAAGAATATGCTTGAAGCAATGCTTTGGGACACAATCAGATGTCCATCTCATCGAGCAACATCCTGATATTGGAATATGTGGACATTGTTTTAACTGCAATTTATCAGTCATTTAATTTAATTACTGATAAATTAGTGGTGTAGTTAAATTGAATGATATTGTTTATCAGTGAATAATTTTTCATTTCCTTTTTCAACAATTTGTTTATTTATCATCATTATCTATTTATCACTTACTATTATCATTATTATTACTATTATTATTATCATTATCATTATTATTACTATCATTATTATTATTGTTATTATCATTATTGTTATTATTATTATCATTTATTATCATCTCATCCTCTTCATTTATTTCATTAACTTTTTGAAAAAGATTCATACATTCATTAAAAAATCAATTTGCGTAAAAGAAAAAAAAAAAGAATTGAAACCTCTTGAGCGTTTAATTGTTGAAAGAATAAAAATGCTAGTAATATAAATAGCCATAACATTATCAGATGAATAAAAAATTGAGCTTAACTGTAAATAAAATGATGAAAATTAAAAATTTCATTTCCATTTCTTCATTTAATCATTTTTTTTTTTTTTTGTCTCAGCAATAAAACTAGAGAACTTCATTATAAAAATTACTTTCAACTAAAATACTTTTTTAAAAAAAAGATATTATTAGGAATATTAGGAAAAGAATAAGCCAAAAGGAAGAAAAGAAGAATGATAAGAAGGAATGAGAAATGTTATTTAAACTAGAAATGACAATTAAAATCATTTGCAAAAGTTCACTTTACAACAACAATAACAATAATAAAAATGAAAGATACGATTAATGCAGAATGAATAATATAAAAAAAAGAAATGAAACTTTTTTTATTTTAATATAGAAAGAATAGATGGGAATGAAAAAAAAAAAAAAAAAAAAAACGAAAAACATTTAAAAAGGATGAAAAAAAGAAAATGAAATAGTTTTTTTTTTTTGTAAATTAAAGAAATTGGAAGTGAAAAATGAATTGTGTTAATCGATCAGTTTAGATTTAAAGAAAATTGTTTGAATGAATGGACAAACAAAAAAAAAAAAAAAAATCTACCACTATATAATAAAAAATAAATTTTAATTAGTCCAGAAATATTTTTTCTTTTTCTTTTTTTTTTTTAAATTATTAAATATGACATTTTCAATAAAAAAATTAAGTGAAAATTTTTTCATTCATTTCTGTTTTTTCTAAATGAAGAAAATTTGAAATGAACAAAAATGTTTTTTGCTTTTTTTTATGAAAAGAAATTGTTTAAATTTAAAAATAATTTATGGAAAAAAAAAAGTTTATTTATTAATAAATACTCAAATTTTTATTTCATTTGTAAATAATAATTTTTGCTAATAAGCAACAAATAAAATATCATTTTGTCGTAGCGATTGTAATTAGGTTGAAATGATAAAGATAATACATAATGATATTTGGGTGTGTTCGGGATGAACTAAAATTGATAAATGATAGTGATAATGGGGATGGCGGATGACGATGATAACGGTGATAATTCCTTGTGAAGATTTTGATGGTAGAAATTGTAAAATGGAAGTTGTATGTAATATTTTTGTTTCCAGTTTACAATTTTATATTTGCAAATAGTAATAAAGGAAAAAAAATCTTTTTGCAATCAATCAATCAATCAATATTGTTGATCTTTTTGATCATGCAAATAATTATCACTTATCTTTGTTAATCATATCGAATAGCACAATAGCAAAAAATTTTTCATCATAATATAAAACATAATGAAATATTTTTCTACAGTTCAATGAAATAAGTTAAAAAAAAAAAAAAAAAATTTGCGAATTATTTTCAACATTTCATATCATTTAAAGTAATCATTAACAATATTGAAGAAGTAATAATAATAATAATAATAATATGATAAAAAAAAATTTGTTCAAATTTTTAAAAATGAAAAAGAAAGAAAAAAAATTAACTGCTGAATTCTTCAATTTAAGAAAAGTTGAAAGAATGTGTAAATTCGTTGAAATTGAAATAGGTTATAGGAAGAAAGAAATTTCAAAAATAAATAAAAATAAAAACAACTTTTTTCTTTTCTTTTCGTTTTTCCTTTTCTTTTTTTTTTCCTTATCAAATATATATTTAAAGTAATTAGCAATTATTTCATTTGTAGCTTAATTAAGGTTAATAAAATAAATTATATGAAATGAAGAAAATTTTTTTTTTTTTTTTTGAAAAAAAGCATAATGATAAGAATGACTAAATAATTTGTCACATAAATGATTGTACAATGTTGGTGACCTGTACAAATACATCAAAAGAACCCGCTAGGAAGTAGTTTTCTCTTAAAAGAATGAAAAGAAAAGAAAAGAAAAAAACGACAATTGAAATTCTTTTTTTTTTTTTTTTTTTGTAATAAATACATGAAATGATTAATATCCTAAATATACATGTTTTTGTGATAAAATTAGGATTTTCTAAAATGGAGGATGAAGGATGAGGAAATCCTAAGTAGGAAGATTAATGATCAAATGAATTATTTCACGAAAGATTATTTTCAATCAAAACAATAACTGAAATTTTATCATTCATTTCAGATTAATTCTCATTTTAACAAAAAATTTATTAAAGCAAAAATAACATTTCAAATTCTTTTCAGTTTTTTTTTTTTTTTTTTTTGAAATATCTGACAAAATAAGTGGAAAAGAAAAGAAAGAATGAATAAAAACTAAGTTAAGATGGAATTAAGAAAAAGTAGAAAAAGATGAAGAAGAAGAAGAAGAAATAGTTAGAATTTAAAATTTGTCTAATTTATCAATACAAGAATTAAGTTTAAAAAAAAAAAAAAATGAATAAAAGCATTTATAATTTAAATTAAAGATATTAAGGAAATTTCTATATCAGCAAAATTTCTATATTTACATTATTGACAACAAATTATGTATTTATGAGCAATACAAAAAGAAAAAAAAAAAAAAAAAATGGATAATAACCTATGAGTGAAATTATACAGTTTCTACTATACATAAATATATCTATTGACAAGAAAATTTGAAATAAAATTAAAGAATTAAAAAAAAAAAAAAATGAGAAATATTAATCGATGGATTCCATTTCTTGTCCATCAATTTGATCTAATTCATTTGGACCAACATAACGACATGATTTTTGACTGCTTGTTGATAAAAATGTTCGATAACAATTAGCATTTGTTAAACAATCTGGTAATGCACCCAAAACTGCGGGTAAAATGATAAGTCCATGTAGTAAACTCCACGATACAACAAGAATGATCGTTTTGAAAAAAACCATTGGTGAATAACTCTATAATTTAAACAATCAAAAAAGAAAAGAAAAGTTTCAATAGTTATAACTTTTCTTTTAATATAATTTTTTCTTTTTTTTTTTGCAATATTTTTTCTTATACAAATCTTTTTTAATTTAAATTCTTCGTTTGTATCTTACACAAATCTTCTTTAAATTGAAATTCTGATCATTTCGTTTCTTTGTTTTCTTAAAAAATTGTTAAAAATTATTTCTAAGTAATTTTTCTGGTAGTTTTGCGATAATTTTTATAAATTTAATAGCTAATTTCATTTTAAATGCAGTAAATTATAAAATTTATTATTCGCTATTTTATTTGTATGTTTTATTATGCTAAGCTAAGTAGATTTTTATAATTAAAATTTTCGTTATCATAAAATAATCAATTAAAGTAATTAAAAAAGTATTAAAAAGTTAAATCAAAATTTGAAAAAAAAAAAAAAAATTTGCATACCTGCAAAAAAATAAGCGGTAAAACACACATTATTGTTGATGCACCAGCTTGTATCATTGGCCAGCCAACACTTTCCAAAGTGTGTTGTAACTTTTCATGTGGTCCTTTAATTGGTATTTTCACAATTTTTTTATTTCGAATTTCTCGTCGATTTGTTAGCTGAAAAAAAAAAACATTTCCCAATTGTTTACTTTCTTTACAAAAGATAAATAAATATAATGCGAGTTGAGTAATCAAATACAATATTGAATGTTAGATTGTTAAAATTAAAGCATAAATCAGACGATATATGCAGCAATAAAATGCTTATTATTAATTAATTACCTGATAATGATAAGAGATATGAGCGGAATATTTACCTGATAATGATAAGAGACGTGAGCGGTGAAATCTACCGATAAACCAATAGACATCAATACTGCAACCGTTGTAACCGGATCCAGATCAAAATGCCACCAAGATAGAAAGCCAAACACACCTAAATGTAATCAAGAAAATGAATATCGTAAGAAAACTATTACAATTTATCAGGAAGAAACCAATTTCTCTCAGCAATTAATTTGATCAATTTCTATTTTATCATCGCTATCAACCGATTATTACCAGATTGAGTAAATACATTGTCAAACATAATTACTTAATTTTAACTAGTTTGAAAGGCAATTATTTAAAAGAAATACTCATAATAATACATTTACAGATTAGACTAATTAAACTAAATTGCATTGTTGTTAATTTCGAGGATTGATAATTACTTAAACAAATGACTCTATAATAGGAAGTAAAAATATGACACATTGTCTTATCTAAAATACCGTATCAATTACAGCACGAAGTATTGAATCGTAATCGACCCAAATTACAATACCGTATCAATTACAGTACGAGGTATTGAACTGTAATCCACCCGAGTTACAATACCTCACCAATTACAGTAAGAAGTATTGAACTGTAACCTACCCGAATTACAATACCTCATCAATTACAGTAAGAAGTATTGAACTGTAATCCACCCGAGTTACAATACCTCACCAATTACAGTAAGAAGTATTGAACTGTAACCTACCCGAATTACAATACCTTATCAATTACAGTAAGAAGTATTGAACTGTAATCCACCCGAATTACTATACCTCATCAATTACAGTAAGAAGTATTGAACTGTAATCCATCCGAATTACAACTTTAAGTTACTGTACTTGCTACAGTAACTTAACTAACTCTAAGACTGTATGCATTTATTTACCGAGACTTATGGAAGCGATTGCAATTGAAGCCGTAATAATGCTACAAGGATTCGGAATAAACAACGCACAAACAACTGCCATACAAATTAAT